ATTTTGGGTGTAGTTGGAAAGCCACATCTCGCCAGCTGGCGGTGATTTTTTTAAATTTTTTTTCCACGTGGCGAGATGAGGTTCACCTTGCACGTCAATTCTTGCATGACTCTTCCCCCGCCACATATTTTTGCCAGGTGACGGAATTTGTGATCTGGCAGTTTTTCGCCATTGGAAACAAACTCGTTAACCAGCGAGGTCCCTGCCGAATTTGAAAAAAATGGTGTGCGTCCCCACGTGAGTCTCGCCACAGTCCTTCATTGTTTTTTCTTTTTCTTTACATGCTTAAACTCGCCAGGGCACAAGAAACCCGATCAAACTCTTGGACAAAACGCTAAATGCTCTTTCGGTTATTTCTTAGCCACGGGTTTTCTCCGATTTGGCAGTTACTGCTGAAAAAAAAACAAAATAAAATCATAGCTGCAACAACCAGATTTTAGGTGCTTCCTTTAGAAGCCACCCCACCACCTCTCAGCCCCACCAACCCTATGTAGGGCTAAAGTTAACGGAATGACTTCTGTTGAGTCCCCATTTTTGGGTTGTGTAGCAATCCCTTACAAAAGTTCTGGATTAACAACTCCGTGTCATCCCATCGCCATGTGCTAAATGATATTGTATTAACAATTTGGCCTTTATCCAGTATAATTTCAATCGTTCTCATCTACTTCCCTCCTTTCCATTCCTTCCGTGCTTCTTTCGTTCCTTTTTTGCAGAACACGTTACTATTCATTTCATCAACTGTATAGATTTGACGATGTCATAATTTGAAGCCCATTACCATCATTTGTTAGCTAAAACTTGCTTGCTTGCTACTTTGCCTTGATTCTCTTTTGGTGACTTACGCTCAGTGAATGCGGTCATCTTGGTACCTTTCATCCATTGCCAGACTGATGCATTATTTGTGTGACTATTAAAATGGGACTGCCTCATCACTTCAACCAAGGTCCTTTTTCTCTCTCTCTCTCTCTCTCTCTCTCTCTCTCTCTCTCTCTCTCTCTCTCTCTCTCTCTCTCTCTCTCTCTCTCTCTCTCTCTCTCTCTCTCTCTCTCTCTTTCTCGCTCTCTCTCTGTGAGTGCAGTCACTTGGACTGGAAGTGTTAAGTGCAAACCATTTTTTGGTGCTCACAAAATGTGTCTCTTAACAATGGTATCTTCGGATGTTCGGCTTGAAGCTTCCTCTCCCCCCCCCCCGCCTAGAGCTGGGGAAGCGATAGCCTTTGCCCGTAGTAAAATAAGCAGTGCGCGGTGCGAAGCGAAGGGAAACAAAAACACATTTATTTTGGTTTCCCTGATTTCTATACAATGCAATTTCATTACACTAACCTGACATATTTCCTAGGCGTCCGTTAGATTTAAATCTAAACTCTAACTCGAAGCTGCGTTTGTGCAAGCCCATAGATTCATTTTATAGCACATGATATATCAGCGTTGACAAAAAATAACACTCTAAAAAAATTCTACTAGTTTTTTTATACGAGCAATCTTATATATATTTTGTTTTTGTGTAGCAATTTTATTTCCCAGTACTTCCATTTAGTTTTAGTGCAACACGTATACCAAAATTGGTCATTATTAGCCAATCCAGTAGTATGGTTGTCCAAAGGATCTCCATAAAATATTGATGATACATTTCTTTTTAAATACTATAATAAAAACTTAAGAATAAAATTCCATCCGATCGATTGCAATAGGTTTCTCCGCAAACCAAAAAAGATTTGTCTCCTAACCGTCAATTGATTCAATTGTAGACAGATTCAAAGTTATATGAAGTTGGAAACATCAAATAACAACGTAAGGGTGTGAGAGTTATTGCAAAAATGCTGAAGTCCGTACAAAAAATACTTACAGCGAGTATGTACTTGCCAACTTATTTTACAGCGAGTTGAAGTTTCCGATGCTGGAATTCGGAAAATGTCAAGAGCACAACGCGATACGTACTCGCGGTAAGTACACAGCAGGCCCCCAGTTTTCATGCCACTTACCTTGATTTAGGGTTTTTTCAAGGATTTTATGTGTACCAATCCTGTTTTGCTAGGGTATTTTGTGCAACCTACCCTGTCTTCAGGACCTAGGCGTCACCACTACGTTCCCCGGACATGAGCGGTACATGGTTTGTACCGAGGCCGCCACTAGTGCCCCTCTGAGCACGTTCCCTTGGGACCCTGTGTCCGGCCTGTTTACGCTTGACACTTCGTCCCCCCAGGTGCCTGCGGCGACCCAAGCAGCTGCGGCTTGCTCGTGCCAGTCGCTCACTCACACGTCGCTACTTTGGCACCAATGCCTAGGTTAGCCCGCACTCCCGCGTCTGATCACATGTCTCATCACGGTCTTGTCTTCGGTTTCCTTGCGTCGCTCCCTACCCTCTCTCCCTCGCCTACGCCACCGTGTACGCCTTGCGTCGAGGGTCGGCTGCGCCGTTCTCCTCACTCCTCCTCGTTTTCCCCTACCACTGCGCCACTCCAGACCCTGCACTTGGACGTTTGGGGCCCAGCACCCATCCCTGGGCCGCGTCGAGAGCGCTACTTTCTAATGCTTGACGACGATTACACGCGCTACACCACGGTGTTTCCACTGGAGTGGAAGGCCGACGTGCGTGTCGTTTTTATCTCGTGGGTCGTAGCTGCACGAGTTCACCGCGGCTTTCCGATGTTTCGTCTCCACTCCGACCGTGCCGGCGATTTTGCCTCCGGTCAGCTTGGCCAATTCTATCATGCGGAGGTGATCACCCCATCGTACACCCTGCCAAACTCCCCAAAGCAGAATGAGATCGCTGAGCGACGCATCGGTTTGGTTATGGAGGTGGCTCGTACCTCAATCATCCATGCCGGTGCACCCCATTTTCTGTGGCCGTTCGCAGTTCGCAACGCCGCTCATCAGCTTAACCTGTGACCACACTCCCAGCGGCCGCAGGTTTCGCCGACCCTTCTTTGGACCGGGTTCCTTGGTGACGTGACTGCGTTCCACGACTGGGGCTGCCTCGCGCACGTTCGTGCCTCTCGCACGGACAAGCTCACTGCCCGCACTGTCCCCTGTGTTTTCCTTGGTTTCCCCCTTGACGCGTCTGACTAGGACTTTTACCATCCGCCTTCTCACCACTTCTTTCACTCGCGTGAAGTCACTATTGACAAATCTGTCTCCTTCTACCACCGCTTTCCCGACAGAGGACTCCCGATTTCTCCACCCTAGTTCCTGTTTCGCACTCCTCTGGTAGCCCCTGCTCCTCTCCCTCCCCGTCCTGCCCCGTCTGGTGTGCTTCGGTTTTGCTGCCTGTCTCCGCCCCAGTGTCTCCTCCTCCGCTGCCGCAGCAGATGCCGCCGTCGCCGCCGCAGCAGCAGCCGCCGTCGCCGCCGTAGCAGCAGCAGCAGCCGCCGTCGCAGAGGTTTGCGCATACTGGGGGTGCTGACGTTGAGGAGGGTGCTAGTCTTGGGGTTACTGTCGTGGCTTGTTCCGGCGGTCTCGGGGGTGGCACCGGTGCTGGAGAGGGTTCTTGTTACGTGGGTGCTGAATCTGGGGGTGCTAGTCCTGGGATTCCTGTCGTGGCTCGTCCCTGCGGTCCTAGGGGTGGCACCTGTGCTGGAGAGGGTTCTTGTTCTGGGGTTGCTGGAGTTGAGCGTCCCGAAGGTAGCCGTAGTGCAGGTGGAGGTTCTGGTCTCAGCGTGGTGCAGCAGCAGCCGCAACCGGTGTCCGACCTTCGTTTCTCCGTCTTCCCTCCCCTAAACGCCCACCTGCGCCTCCCTCGCCATCGCCTCCCCTGCCTGTCTCCGGCTTTGTGTTTCCTCCGCCAAAATCGTTTCCGGCTCGTTTTCCCCCTCGTTCCCCTCATGTGTCTCCTCCTCTGTCTCCTGACCCTGCGCCTCCGTCTCACGTCTGGTCTCACCGTCCCTCCCGTGCTCGTCCTGTCTCTCCTGTTTAGCGCTCTCTCCCTATGTTACTTCGTTCCCACGCGTCTCGTCCTCCCCTCCTCCTGTCTCCTCCTACGTCATTGCTTGTTGTCGCTCCGCCTCATCAGTCTGCCTTCCTTTGTGCCGCTAGTCCTCTTGTTCCTCGGATCCTTGCCTCCCTTGTTACCAGCCCGCCTGTTCTTGTCTCGAGTCTTGACGCGCTTGTCGCTGCCGTCGCTGACTTCACCTCTACCCGCCGCCTTGACTACGCCACCACTCTGGTCTATGACCTTGGCCGTCCTCCTTCCGTCGGGGGTGCTCGTGCCCTTGGCACTAACGTCCTGGAGGACTGGCAGTATGAGCTTGCTTTCCTGTCCGAGGCCGCGCCTCATCTCTGCTCCATGCTGCTAGTCCCTGAGGGGGGCCGAGTCGCCTTTGACATCCTGACCCCTCGCACTTACGCGGAGGCGACCTCGGGACTCTGGGCCTCTCAGTGGATAGCTACCATGGAGCAAGAGATGGCATCTTGGAGATCCATCTGCACTTACATCGACGCAGTTCCCCCACCTGGGGTGAACGTAGTCGAGCGCTGTTACACGTAGCCGCACAACGTGACTACGAGCTCCACTGTCTCGACTTCTCAACAGCGTTTCTTCAGGGCAGTCTGCACGAGCAGGTCTACTTGCATCGCTCGCCAGGCTTTACCGGCACCTTCGCCCCGGGGACCCAGTGGCTCCTCCGGCGCCCGGGGTACGGCCTACGGCAGGCGCCGCGCGAGTGGCACGACACGCTTCGTGCTGCGTTAGCTGATATGCAGTTCTTTCCGTCGTCTGCAGACCCCTCGCTCTTCGTTCGTGTTGGCCATACATCGTTCTACATCCTTCTCTACGTAGACGATCTGGTCTTTGCTACCGTAGACAGAGGCGCACTGGCCTACGTGAAGACTGAGCTGTTGAGGAGACACACCTGCATTGACCTGGGAGAGCTACTCCGTTACTGGCCTGTAGATCTCCAGGGACAGAGCAGCGCGCACCATTTCTCTCACACGGTCACTTGGTGTGTCAAGTCCTTCAGAGGTTCACATGCACAAAAGCACCTGATATCTCTTTTTGTAGTTATTCATTCTCACTTTGATAGCCTAGTCTTACAAAATTGCCAACCACATCATACACTATGTGCATCAGTGCATAGCATCATAATGTAAACGCGACCAACCAACCCAACCAAGGACTTTGCAGTGCCACAATGTTCTAAGCTGCGCCCTCAAGCCAGCACTGCAGCTGCTGCCGCACGTCAACCACTGCTAAGTCGGAAATACAGGCGGTGCTGGCCCCTCCCAGGAACTCAAACACTCCATGCTGGCTTACCGGCTCAAACACCCTGTGCTCAAACACCCTGTGCTGCTCCGAGGGCTCTACACGCAGTGAAGTCAGATGTCGGGAGGGCACGAAAGGCAGGGTTGGCAGTTGGTTGCCGACGGTCAGACGGTCGTCTGTCGCGTTCGCGCCGTCGGCTGTGTTGCTGCTAGCAGTGAAAATCAACCGGCGCTTCTTTCCGCCCAGCTTGTTAAACACTGCAGTGCTGCTAAGGGTGGGTGTTTCTGGGCCATCCGCCCCACTCCATTGCATTTCCACCATGCATCGCTCCATCCCACCCCCATCCACATGAGGGTCCATGCTGCTCGTTCCAGGAGGAGTCATCATGCCTTCACTCTCCACATCACCGCTGAAAGGCACGCACCGAAATGAGGCAGAAGCATGGAGGTCAGGGGGTGCAGCGGCCATGGCAGAGGCTTGACGCTTCTGGATCCTGTCAGGAGGAGTCATCATGCCTTCACTATCCGCATCACAGCTGAAAGGGACACAACGCCACGAGGCAGGAGCACGGAGGTCAGGGGGTGGTGCAGCAGCAGCCATGGCAGCGGCTGGACGCCTCTGGATCCTGCCAGGAGGAGTCATCTGGCCAATATCCATGGCATCGCACATGGTATCCATGCAACGCCATGGGGCAGGAGCATGGAGGTCAGGGAGCGCAGCAGCCATGGCGGTGGCTGGACGCTTCTGGATCCTGTCAGGAGGAGTCATCATGCCGATACCCGCTGCAGCGCACATGGTGGTATCCACGCGCCGCCGTGGGGCAGGAGCATGGAGGCCAGGGAGCGCAGCAGCCATGGCAGAAGCAGGTCGTTTGGTGCCTGTTCTGTGTCGCATGGAGTCGGCAAGAGCCAGCAGCATGGCGCTCAGTTGCTTCATCTGCCCCCATGGCTTCTGTTCTCGCTGCCGCTGCCGCTGCCGCTGCTGCCGCCGCCGCCGCCGCCCCCGCTGCCGCTGCCGCTGCCGCTGCCGCTGCCGCCGCTGCCGCTGCCGCTGCCGCTGCCGCTGCCGCTGCCGCTGCCGCTGCCGCTGCCGCTGCCGCTGCCGCTGCCGCTGCCGCTGCCGCTGCCGCTGCCGCTGCCGCTGCCGCTGCCGCTGCCGCTGCCGCTGCCGCTGCCGCTGCCGCTGCCGCTGCCGCTGCCGCTGCCGCTGCCGCTGCCGCTGCCGCTGCCGCTGCCGCTGCCGCTGCCGCTGCCGCTGCCCGCTGCCGCTGCCGCTGCCGCTGCCGCTGCCGCTGCCGCTGCCGCTGCCCGCTGCCGCTGCCCGCTGCCGCTGCCGCTGCCGCTGCCGCTGCCCCGCTGCCGCTGCCGCTGCCGCTGCCGCTGCCGCTGCCGCTGCCGCTGCCCGCTGCCGCTGCCGCTGCCGCTGCCGCTGCCGCTGCCGCTGCCGCTGCCGCTGCCGCTGCCGCTGCCGCTGCCGCTGCCGCTGCCGCTGCCGCTGCCGCTGCCGCTGCCCGCTGCCGCTGCCGCTGCCGCTGCCGCTGCCGCTGCCGCTGCCCGCTGCCGCTGCCGCTGCCCCGCTGCCGCTGCCGCTGCCGCTGCCGCTGCCGCTGCCGCTGCCGCTGCCCGCCTGCCGCTGCCGCTGCCGCTGCCGCTGCCGCTGCCGCTGCCGCTGCCGCTGCCGCTGCCGCTGCCGCTGCCGCTGCCGCTGCCGCTGCCGCTGCCGCTGCCGCTGCCGCTGCCGCTGCCCGCTGCCGCTGCCGCTGCCCGCTGCCGCTGCCGCTGCCGCTGCCGCTGCCGCTGCCGCTGCCGCTGCCGCTGCCGCTGCCGCTGCCGCTGCCGCTGCCGCTGCCGCTGCCGCTGCCGCTGCCGCTGCCGCTGCCGCTGCCGCTGCCGCTGCCGCTGCCGCTGCCGCTGCCGCTGCCGCTGCCGCTGCCGCTGCCGCTGCCGCTGCCGCTGCCGCTGCCGCTGCCGCTGCCGCTGCCGCTGCCGCTGCCGCTGCCGCTGCCGCTGCCGCTGCCGCTGCCGCTGCCGCTGCCGCTGCCGCTGCCGCTGCCGCTGCCGCTGCCGCTGCCGCTGCCGCTGCCGCTGCCGCTGCCGCTGCCGCTGCCGCTGCCGCTGCCGCTGCCGCTGCCGCTGCCGCTGCCGCTGCGGCTGCGGCTGCGGCTGCGGCTGCGGCTGCGGCTGCGGCTGCGGCTGCGGCTGCGGCTGCGGCTGCGGCTGCGGCTGCGGCTGCGGCTGCGGCTGCGGCTGCGGCTGCGGCTGCGGCTGCGGCTGCGGCTGCGGCTGCTGCTGCTGCTGCTGCTGCTGCTGCTGCTGCTGCTGCTGCTGCTGCTGCTGCTGCTGCTGCTGCTGCTGCTGCTGCTGCTGCTGCTGCTGCTGCTGCTGCTGCTGCTGCTGCTGCTCCTGTTTTTCCAGCTGGGTGGGAAGGCAGATAGCACGTATGGCAGCAGCGTCAGTCCCACATCCCGCATTCCACGCTGCTTCCAGCGCTGGTGCTCCTGAGGGCCCGTGCACTGACCTTTCCTCAGTGGTATCACTCGATAACAACCCCATGTGATGTACTGTAGCTCCATGGTTACACCCAGTGGGTGTTACCTCTCCCAGCTCGAATAGAAACTCGTCTATCGCGTCCCCATTCAGGCCAAAGCTCTCATCTGCTCCCACCCACCAAGAACCGCCCAAAGTTCCCATTCATGGCACTTTGGGCGGTTCTTGGTGACATGAGGGGCTTGCACAACCCATCATAATCCAGCGACTCAGGAAGCACCCTGGAAGCTTCGTTCCTGGCTGCACAATTGACATCACCACCTGCAGCAGCAGCAGCAGCAGTTGGACTAGGTGAGGCTGCATTGGAGGTGATGGCTGCATTGGAGGTGATGGCTGCATTGGAGGTGATGGCTGCGGCAGCAGGTAGAGCCAGGAGGGTGAGCAACGTTGGACCGTGTTGCGAGGTCGGAAGGAGGTTGGATAGAACCTGGTCATTGATCGACATCGGATGGTTGGGCAATTGTTCAGGCGACAATTCGGGAGGTAGCTTGGGCGGAGCCGGGTGCTTTGGTGGACTCGGGTGGTTGATTGAAGCTGGGTGGTTGATTGAAGCTGGGTGGCTGGGTGAATGTTTGGACGGAGCATCTTGGTGGTTGATGAAGCTCAGGTGTTTGGGCCGCATTGGGTGGTTGTGGAGGCGGCAGCGGTGGGCGACTTGAATGGCGTCCACAGAGAGGGGCGCTTGGCAGTCGATGTCGACTGTCTTCTTGGCGGGGCAGCGAGGGACGAGCTTGGAGCGACTGCACTTGTAATAGCACCTGCGGGGAACCAGGGAATTCAAGACGCATCATATGAGTTCGTGAGACGTCAAACTACAACGCAGCAAGCCAGCGATGGGTGAGACGAGAAAGACATACTCAAACACACCGAGAAGCGAACACACCGGAATCGGATGACTGACACTCGAGCGCACCGTGATGCGGCTCCAGATTTAAGTCAGATGCAAGCATAAGGGAGTCAAGGGCAAGCAGCGTCCAAGAGTCAACAGAAGCGAACCAGAGTCAACGACCAGAGTCAAGAACAGCATTGCCTATCAGGGAGTGGCAATACCTGATGGTGCTACAGCCCTACCTGATGGTGCTACAGCCCTACCTGATGGTGCTGGAGCGCTGCAATTGCTTCTGGCCGTACTTGAGCCAGCTGTGCCCATCGCACCCCACCACCCGCGCCACCATCTCATCCAGCGCCCGCCGCCCCGCCTCCTCAGGCCGGGAGATACAAGTAGGGAGTTGCTGTTGCTGGGAGCTGGAGTTTCCCAGTTCCTGCTGGGAGTGGGCGTTAGGCGACTGCTGCTGGGAGCTGGAATCCCCCTCGGCGGTGGCGGCAGTGGCGGTGCGGGTGGCGCTGATACTGGAAGTTGAGGTGGGGGTAGGCAGATTCGACGAGGGCGTGGCGAGGGGACTTGAGGGGGCGATGAGGGGAATTGAAGGCGTGACGAGGGCACGAGTTGAGGAGGCGGGGAGGGGAGTTGAGGCGGCGGGGAGGGGAGTTGAGGCGGCGGGGAGAGGAGGTGAGGGGGTGGGGAGGGGAATTAAGGGCGTGGGGACGCGACAGTGTCCCGCCATTTGAAAAATCCGTCCAATAGTTGGGGCCTCCGAGACCATCGGCATAGGCTATCTGCTGAGAAGACTCCTGAAGCTTTCTGCTGCTAGAGCGTGGCAGACTCTGAGACTCTGCGTTATACTAACGCGGCGGTAGAGCCTTGAGGGCGAACAGTTGTCAGTACTCCGGAATTCGGCAATTTCGAATAACAGCAGAAATAAAGACTCGCGAGGGACTCCCTTCAGATACAGGGCTCTCAAACGTGACAGCCGCCTTAGGTGAAGAGCCGGAAGTTCGACTTCCAGGGTCTGGTGAAATCGAGACAATTATCTGCCGCAATCGTCGTCCGACGAGAGTTATCCGAAGCGGATAAGCATGCCAGTGCTTCGGATCCTAATAGCATCCTCCTCAGGGAGGGCTGGTGCCAGTGCTGCTTGCGTGTATCTTGTAAGTCTCACGTGACCATGAGAACCGGTGAGAACCGTTGAGAACCGGTGAGACTTGTCAGCGATTCTGTGTGGGGGTGTTGTCCAGCCTAGAAGAGCCACAGTTCAGCGTCTGGGGAGACAGACGGAGCATCCACCCGGTCACCGCCGGCTCCTCGGTGGAGCACTGCGCCTCGGCTGGTGCCAAACCGGGCCACTCGTCCAGTGGTCCTATTTGGAAGTGCGCCTTAGTTGCGGCCATAACGAGTCCGAGGAGCAGTCTGACAATATCTTCCGCTCTCCTCCTGTCTTGACTCGTGTGCTCCGGCGTGAGCCACGTGTCAGGCGGAGAAGAGTGCGTTGAGTGTGGAGGAGGGTACAGTACTGTACACTGAACGAGGACACGAGAGTCGTACTACTGTACAGATTACGAGACGCATCAAATGATGCAGCCCTCCGAGTCATAAGAAGGGGCTTGGCGTAAAGCCCATTCTTGCAGTCGTAAGCAACTGCAAATGATGCTCTCGTCTCTTCCTTCCTCCCAGAAGCGAAGCCTTCATTCACTCGCGTGGATCTACAGAAGCTACACCAGAACATGAAATTCCGTCGCGAAACGTGGACGACAAACGCCAGCCATGGATGTTCAACCGCCACTAGCAGGCTGCCAAACAAGGATCTCAGCTTCCTATGAACCTGTCCTACTACAATACGAGTCCACCATGCGGATAAAACAGAAGGAACGAATGACGAGAGCTCCCCCCATCCACAAATCCCTAGGCACCGTCGACACTCCAACGACTACAACTTCTACATTTTCCTAAAAAAAGAGAAATTTGACGAAACTTATCAGCTACCTATCTCCGTCTGCCTATTCTGTGACGTTCCAGTACAGTACTGTAGAATGCATAATACTGTACCCGACACTAACGTTATCCCCAACCGAGTTCCCATTCCGCCATTCTTGGATGCTTATGAGAAGCGTCCAGTGGTCTTGCTTGGCAGCTTCTAGCTCAGTCGCAGTAGTCATCGCAGTTGAGAAGAAAGCTCGCTACAAGAGTACACGACAAGAGTAACTAATGACACGTCCCGTCCCACTCCCCTGTCACCAGGACAGGGGAGTGTTGAGTCTGTTCATCTCATCGCACTGTAAGCAACTCTGAATCATGCGCTCGTCTCTTCCTCTTAGTTGAGGCTGCAGTCACGTGGATCTGATACGGTATCCGATAGACGGAGAAACGAAAAGAGCCCAGAATGGTCAACAAGAAAAGACCGCGCAGCAAGGGAACCGCGAAACTCGTAAGCGTTTTCTGTCCAGTTTATCGCCACCCCTCCCTCCTATCGAAGAAAAACCTCCTACAACCGAACGTCTTAGGCCTGCGGTTTATCCTGCCCTAATCAAGCCTGCAGAAAGAGCAAGAGGAACGGAAAGGAAAGGGCTGACCGGAAAGGAGGGAGCAGCAGGAAAGCAAGGAGCAAGAGAGACGGTTGGAGCAGCAGCAACGAGAGGAGTGAGGGAGCAACCTTTTCTACCAATCCCGAGGGTTCTGCCAGGCTGCCTTGATTCTACCGCCACTTGTGCTTTCCCGCCTTGACCATTGACTCCTCCAAATCGCCATCTTCTGGTTCAGGACTTCAGATAGATGTGTTTCAATTTCCCGTAAACCTCAGTACAGAAGTACACATGTTGTCCCATAATCCCATTTCAATCTAACTAACGAAAATAAAAAGAAAATGCACAACACATACCAAGAGCCGCAAAATCAATCCTCTAAGCTTCGATCTCAAGCCACAACTGCAGTTGATGCCGGACATCAACAGCTGCAAAATCGGAGATACGGGCGGTGCTCGCCCCTCCCAGGAACTCAAACACTCCATGATGGTTCAACGGCTCAAACAACTCGTGGTGGACCAAGGGCATTGAAAGCATTAAAGCCTGATGCTGATTAAGTGAAGTTCTAGTGTACGATGAGCCTGGGCGTTGCTGCACCTCCTGCATTGCTCCGTGCGCCATCAGCGCGGCCCCATGCAAGTCCAATGTCCACTCCGAGCAAACCATGCGGTGCTGGGGTTTAGAAGCAGTGGCACCAGCCGGCAGGGAGGGTGGGGAGGGTAGGGAGGGAACGAAGGGCATGGAGGGCAGGGGCGGGTGCTGATGGCTGAAGGTCAGGCGGTTGCATGTCTCGTCCGTGCGGTCACCTGTGTTGCCGCTGGTGGCGGGGATCATCTGGCGCTTCGTTCCGCCCGGCTTCTTACATGCTGCAATGCTGCTGAGAGTGGGTGTTTCTGGCCCATCCACCCCGCTCCATGCTCGCTCCATCCCACCTCCTGCGGCATCCACACCACTCCATGTTTGCTCCACCGTGCATCGCTCCATCACACCCCCATCCGCATGAAAGTCAGCGATGCTCGTACCAGGAGTCGTCATCATGTCCGTGCGCGCATCGTCGCAGCTGGAATCCGCACAGCGCCACGGGGCAGGAGCACGGCGGGCAGGAGAGCAGCGGGCAGGGAGATCAGCAGCAGCCATGGCACATGCCGGCCGCTTCTGAGCCCTGTCAGGGGGTTCCATGGTAACAGCGTCAGGATTCCAGGTCATGAGCCCGTCAGGATACCCAATGGCACGGAGGGCAGCAGCAACAGCCATGGAAGAGGCCGGTCGCTTGGCGCCCGTGCGGTGTCGCATGGAGTGGCCAAGAGCCAGCAGGATCTCGTTCATTTGCTGCTCCAATGCCTGCTGCTGCTGCTGCTGCTGCTGCTGCTGCTGCTGCTGCTGCTGCTGCTGCTGCTGCTGCTGCTGCTGCTGCTGCTGCTGCTGCTGCTGCTGCTGCTGCTGCTGCTGCTGCTGCTGCTGCTGCTGCTCTTGCTGCTGCCCTCTCTGCAGGGAGGGAACGCCAGCAGCAGCACCAAACGCAGAGCCCGGAGTCTCAATGGCAAAGGCATCAGCGACAGCAGCATGCCTGGCAGCAGAGTCAGTCCCATGAGCCTCAATCCCACGCCCCAGCAACGCTCCTTCCAGTGCCGCTGTTCCGGAGGGCCCATCCACGGACCCTCCCCCTCCATCATCATGGTACTCAGAGGGACGCAACAGGCCCTCTCGATACCCCCCCACTCTGACTCTTCCTTCCAGTCCCAGCAACGCTGCACCAGCACCAGCACCAGCACCAGCACCAGCACCAGCACCAGCACCAGCACCAGCACCAGCACCAGCACCAGCACCATCATCAGCATCAGCATCAGCATCAGCATCAGCATCAGCATCAGCATCAGCATCAGCATCAGCACCATCATCAGCATCAGCATCAGCATCAGCATCAGCATCAGCATCAGCATCAGCATCAGCATCAGCATCAGCATCAGCACACTCAGTGCTGATATCACCTGATAGATCCCCAGTTGAGTTCAGCTCCTCGGTTGCAATCCCCGGGCGATGCCCACTGAATACTGTAGCTCCGTGGTTACATCCTGTGGGTGTTAGCACTCCCAGCTCGGAAAAAAATTCCCCATCTAGCCAAAGGCTGCCATTTGCTCCCACCTCCTGAGAGCTTAAGGCGCTTTGGGCGCTTCTTGGTGACACGAGGGGCTCGCCCAGGCAATCGTGACTCTGCGATGCAGGAAGCACCTTGGAAGCATCATTCCCAGCTGCAGAATTGCCACCACCAGCGCCACCAGCCGCATCACCGACAGCAGCAACAGCAGCAGCAAAAGAAACAGCAGCAGCAGTGGCAGCAGCAGCCGCCAATTTCATGCTCGCATGTTGGAGTGACAGCATCGGGTAACTCGCATCGTGGGAAGCGTCAGAAGGAAGGACAATTGTCGAAGCAGCCGAGAGAGCCATGGGTTTGAGCAACGTTGGACGATGCTGCATGGCGACGGAGGGGCTGGGCACAGCAGGACCAGTCCCGGCTGCAGTGGAGCGGGGGCCGCAGGGGGCCGCATCAGCTGGACGGCCGTGGAGCAACGCCGCACGGTGCTGCATGGCGGAGTGGCTGGGCACAGCCAGGAGGTTGTTAGAAGCTGGATGGTTGGGCAATTGCTTGGGCAGAGCCAGGTGGCTGGTGGGACTCTGGTGGTTGGGCAATTGCTTGGGCGGCATTGGGTGGTTGATGGGAATTGGGTGGTTGTGGAGGCGGCAGCGGTGGGCGACTTGAATGGCGTTCATAGAGAGGGGCGCATGGCAGTCGATGTCGATGGTCTTCTTGGCGGGGCAGCGAGGGATGAGCTTGGAGCGACTGCACTTGTAGTAGCACCTGGGGGGGGGGGGGGGGGGGGGAAGGGAGGAGGATCAGCAAAACAAGGCAGAACACAGGATCAACAGGCGCCCATAGTCAACAGGAGGCGACTAGAGTTAACAGGAGCCGACCAGAGTCAACAAGTATGGAGAAGAAGAAGAAGAAAAAGCAACACGGAGAACGAGTTATAACAACAGTGGACCACAGTCAACAGTAGCCGCCCAAATTCTCCCTACCTGAGGGCGCTACAATCGTACCTAATGGTGCTACAGCCCTACCTGATGGTGCTACAGCCCTACCTGATGGTGCTGGAGCGCTGCACTTGCTTCTGGCCGTACTTGAGCCAGCTGTGCCCATCGCACCCCACCACCCGCGCCACCATCTCATCCAGCGCCCGCCGCCCCGCCTCCTGAGGCCGGGAGATAGAAGAAGGGAGCTGCTGCTGCTGGGAGCTGGAGTTACCCAATTCCTGCTGGGAGGTAGAAGTAAGGTTCTGCTGCTCCCGGGACGTAGAGGGTAGTTGTTGCGTGAAACCATCATGAGGCCTGGTACTACTACCCCCCTTCTCAAGTGCGCCTGCCGCTGCTTCTGCTGCTGCTGCCACTGGTTCTGTTGCTGCTGCTGCTACGGCGGCGGCGGCGGCTGCGGCGGCAGCGGCGGCAGCGGTGGCGGCGGGCGGTTGAGGCGCCTGGCGGCAGGGATTTGCGAGCATAGTGGCGTGACGGGAAACCGAGAGGGAAGGAAGAGCGGTGGGGGAGCGGTAGGGGGAGCGGTCGGGGGAGCGGTTGGGGGAGCGGTAGGGAGAGCGGTAGGGGGAGCAGAAGGGGGAACGATAGGGGGAGCAGTAGGGGGAGAGGTAGGGGGAGCAAAAGGGTTAGCGGTAGGGATAGAGGTAGTGGGAGGGGTTGGACCGTAGGGGTAGGGGAGAAGGCGGGGGAGCAGGAAGAGCAGGAAGTAGGAGTGGTGGTAGAGGAGGTCGGAAGAGAGGTAGGGAGAGAGGTGGGGAGAGATGTGGGGAGAGAGGTGGGGAGAGAGGTGGGGAGAGAGGTGGGGAGAGAGGTGGGGAGAGGGCAATAACAGTTAAGTATGGGGAAAGCACGGACCTACAGGTCAATGGGCTAATACTACGCGAATTAAGAACGCGGATAAAAAAGAGAGTCGGCAAACGAAGGTCAGGTAGGAGTTAGTAGTCGTACTGGCGTCCCTTGTAGCACTAGCTCGAATGAAATGATTTCTCGACGACGGGAAACCGGCTTTTGAAAGTCCTTCACTGGGCGGCTAGGCGGCTAGGCGGCTAGGCGGCGGCGGCTCACAACCCAACGAGGAACGAATAATGGAACGCACGGAATGAAGCCAGGCTAGCCGGCTCTGGATGATGATAGTTCACGGCGCTACGGTAGCGCCAGGCAGCAGCAGTTACTACACGAGATGGCTTTTGAGTGGACCCGAAAGTCACACTACACACAATTGAATGTAATAAGGCCGGCCGTTCTGCCATGTCAGGGTGGGGAGCCGAGCCTAAGCAGTGCAGAGCGGAGGGTACTTGGAGCTCTGCGCGGTGGTGAGGTGAGGAGCAGAGCAGAGCGCGGCGGTGAGGTGAGGAGGACTCAGCCGCAGCAGGGGTCAGTCGGTGAGGGCCAGCTTGCGACAAAGCAGCAGTGAGTCACTAACTCCAAGTCAGTGAAATGTCTCACTGACTCGCTGCCTTTTGGCATGAGGTTTGCTTGCCAGCTGGAGGGGGGGATGCTGCTACAGTACTAGCGTCGGCTTGCCTTGGTTTGTGCCACGGCGCTGGTGTTGCGACAAACCAGAAAGAGAAGCCCCATGCTTGCGGTTGCGGCCCTTTGCTTTTGCTTCTAACCCGCCCTGATACTGCCCCCCCCATCCCAATCCCCCATCGTGCCAGACGGCTCAGCGGGATTGGCGGAAAGGACGGCATAGCCGCACCGCCGCACAGCGGCACGCAATGCAACGAGTACTGTACAGTGTTGCAACGTTTCTGTCTGACAAAACCACAGCCGCACACGGCGCTGCACGCAGCGCGTTACGGCCAAGAAGTCTGGAAAACGACAGCACACACTGCGCAGCGCGTTCCAGACGCGAACTTGGGAAAGAGAGTGGAAGGGACGAGAGAAGGGGGAGGGAGAGAAGGGGCTGGAATGCACCCATCCGCTCACATGGGACAAGAGGCAGGAGGAGCCCAGCCGTTCAATCCCGAGGGGAGAAAGTAGGGGCGGAGAGAGGAGAGGGGGCCCAAGGTGGGGGGTGGGGGGGGGCTCCAAGGGTCCGAACGAACCGAACCGATGGTAAGAAGGGGGGGGGGGGTCCAAGGGTCTGAGCGAACCGAACTGATGGTTCAGGTTCTTCAGTGGGCCATCCAGCCACGACAACACGAGGAGGCTTCTAGAACCTCAGATCTCGGCTAGTCGTACCGGCGGGAGTCACGGGACAGGGGGGTTTGTCTAGGGGTACGTACTACCTCCCTAGTTCATAGGGGGGGTCAGAGAGACAGTAGAGTGGAAGCCTTGTTGTGCAAGGCGGAGGGTCAGATTCATGCATCAGAGGACTGCTAGCGGAGCACGGCGGAGAATCATCCACGAATCCCAACACGGTGCAGCCGGAAAGTATGCAAGGCTGCTCGGAAAATGGTGTACACCTGGTGTCCACAAAATTCTGTGCTCAAGTGAGTCCCAATCGGCCCCTCGCTGATGGTCATTCCCGTCCAAATACATCCAGCGCGACTCGCAAACAGTAAGTTCCAGTGTCGGGCTTCAGGTGTAGTATAGTTTACTGTACTGTGCTGTCTTGTCCTGCAAAACACTGTAGACTGTGGCCAAGTTGGACCGTTGTGGAACTGTCTACACTACCCGTGAACCAGTGGTGTCCATCGTCATCACGTCACTCCTTGTCCTCATCATCACGTCACTCCTTGTCCTCGTCATCACGTCACTCCTTGTCCTCGTCGCTCAATGATTCGTCACCGCGTTGGGTGAGCTAGACATGGAATGTCGAACCAAAAAGCTAGGGTTTCGGAACCTTGCACGGCAAGATTGAGGCGGGGAGGACAAAGATCGAGGAATGGCTTGGCTTTTGTCAGAAATCGATGATCGATGAGCGAGGAGAGGAGAGGGAGAGAGACTCGTAGAAAGAACTAACCCACTGGACGACTACAGCAGAAAGGCACCCGACGATTTGAGTTGACTTCATCGGTGGTGGCCAGAGCCACCGACTGACTGCCATTGCATTCCCGTCGTCCTTTCTGGGCAACCTGGGAATACTGTACTAAGGGAGCTGTGCGAAAAGTGGAACATTTTGGATGCGCAGCGTGCAGCTGTAAGCGGTTGGAGCAGACTGCAACTGAGGACTGCCTTCTGATAATGATCCTCACCAGATCAACTGACGACTGTTGCTACAAACCTAGAAGCTGATTCCTTCCGCATGAGAGATGGGCATTTCATTATGCTCTAGCGCAGCTTCGCATGCGGTACCCGCATGCCCGTAAAACCTTTTCATTCCAGTACTATTGAGTATCGCCTCATTTTGTTCATTTCTATTGAGTTCTCCCGTGAGTTACAGCTCATGCTTTGTTAAATACCTTTGTGCTCATGTTTTGGTTCGGAAAGAAATTTGCAATATTTTATCAACTCCCTGGTTAACCTATATTCTTGTCTTCCTGGTGTCCGTTTCGTTCGTCGCCCCTGAATTCGCGCGTGCTTGAAGTGCCGAAATGTTTTCGTTAGGCTATTCGCTGACTGTTCGCCTGTTTTCCCGCAACTTTGGTTAGGCTCGGCGCGCTAGGGACAGACACTTACTTCGCGCTTTCTTAGTGCTAGGATGTGGTAGAATTGCTGAAATCGCGTTGGACCGGATCGGACTGGAGCTCACCAGGGGATTCTATGGTTTGTGGTGGTTCGTGGTGGATCTAGAGTATTTTGGGGCAGATTGGTTTGGGTTGTTTCGAGGCAAGGGAATGGAAGATTCGGGGTTGGGGGGCTGTCCTACGTGGCCGATGGCACGTGCCATTGCGAAAGTTAGGAGGGGTTTAGGTTATCAATATGAAAGGGGATTGTCGGGGCTCAGAATTCGTCGAAGTACGCTCGCAACACTTGAATTTATTTTCGTCAGTTTGGCGCGCTAGGTGGTGCGCTCCAGTGCGCACTGGTGCGCACTACTTCGATCTAACGCATGGCTCGCACTGGTGCGCACCAGAGCGAGCTATGGATCGTCAACCGCCTTGCCGCCCAGGATAACTGACAGCATATTGGCTGCTAGTGGCGATGGATCGCCTTGGATCGCAATGCATTTTTCTAAAGCCCTTAGATAAAAATGGCTGTACATTAATTCTGCATGTATTAACTGTACTGAACTGTACAGTTTAACGGTTCTTATGTCCGAGGGGAATGTCCCAGATTTCGGGAAAAGGGTACAAAAATGGACCGTCGCACATGTGCTGACAGCCGCTTCGAGCAGCCGGCTCCATCCATAGGTGTTGTTGTGACGTTCTTGTCGCATTATCGCATGGCTCTTGATCCAAGCCCAACGCCCAATGTCCGACGCATACTCACTATCAACAGACTCGTTTCTGTATAAATAACGTGGGTCGCCTTCTATGCCTGAGGCTTATGATTTCATCTCTCACGAATGAAAACAATTAACTTATTACATTAAATTATTTAATGATAATTCTATGATCTGAATCGATCAAATCATGGTACGGATTCAACAAACCATTGCGTAGATGTTGAGCTCGACACTAATACATAACGGAGCTTTGTACAGTTTTGTGATTAACATTATTGCTCGTTGCAACAGCCCCAATGGCTCACTGGAGTTGCCTGGCAGGGACCACCCGAAGCCCTCAGGTACACAATTCTTGAGCAAGCTTTGTCAGAGCCACGCCAGAACCAGCCCCATCCCAGTCAGCACCTCATAAGCCGCCTTTCCCGCCAGTTTCCATCCCGCTGACTCGAGTCAGACGTGCTCTAGCCAGATCGCGTCCAGAACTCTCCTCTGTTACTATTTTGCTCGAATTTCGCACACCTTTTCGCGCTTCATGCGGCGAGCGGTTATCCAGCGCGCCTCTCGCACCACCGGCAGGCTCACGTTCCTGCAGGCTCTGCGGAGTTCGCCGTTAGCTGCTGAGCCCGTTAATAGTAACGGTACTGCCTGTATCGGAGCCAGCAACTTCGCGAATGTTCCAGTAGGGGGGGGTGGATGTAGGGTGCTCTCTTCAATCTCTAGGCCTTCTGCACCAGGTTCTTATATCGGTGGATCCGGTATCGCTCCCTCCGTTAGGGCGTTGGATCGAAGGCGGTTGGTCCATTCTTCCGTACAAGCTCGGGCTCAGGCCACGTCACAGCAGACGAGATCCGCGTCAGCGATGACGTCATCGGAGGAAACGATTGTGGTGGAGAAGGACACGTCAGCAGCCACGGTGGTGCTAAATCGGCCCAAGGCTCTCAACTCCCTTGACACGTACATGGTGAGTTCGGCTTCTTTCAGGTGTCCTTTGAGATGTGCTACATGCATGCGTCTGTTGACACGTACATGGTGAGTTCAGCTTCTTTCAGGTGTGTTTCATGCCTGTCGTGACACGAACATGGTGGGTTCGGCTTTCCTGCATGGCATACGCATCTAATCTCACATTCTCATACATGGTCGGCGTATCTCCTCATGAGAGCATGGGAGCATGGAAGCATGGAAGCATGAGAGCATGAGAGCATGAGAGCATGGGAGCATGGGAGCATGAGAGCATGGGAGCATGGGAGCATGAGAGCATGGGAGCATGGGAGCATGGGAGCATGTAAGCATGAGAGCATGGGAGCATGGGAGCATGGGAGCATGGGAGCATGGGAGCATGGGAGCATGGGAGCATGGAAGCATGGGAGCATGGGAACATGGGAGCATGGGAGCATGGGAGCATGGGAGCATGGGAGCATGAGAGCATGGAAGCATGGAAGCATGAGAGCATGGGAGCATGGGAGCATGGAAGCATGTGAGCATAAGAGCATGGGAGCATGGGAGCATGAGAGCATGGGAGCATGGGAGCATGAGAGCATGGAAGCATGGAAGCATGAGAGCATGGGAGCATGGGAGCATGGAAGCATGTGAGCATGAGAGCATGGGAGCATGGGAGCATGAGAGCATGGGAGCATGGGAGTATGGGAAGCATGAGAGCATGGAAGCATGGAAGCATGAGAGCATGGGAGCATGGGAGCATGGAAGCATGAGAGCATGGGAGCATGGGAGTATGGAAGCATGAGAGCATGGAAGCATGAGAGCATGGGAGCATGGGAGCATGGAAGCATGTGAGCATGAGAGCATGGGAGCATGAGAGCATGGGAGCATGGGAGCATGAGAGCATGGGAGCATGGAAGCATGAGAGCTAAAGAGTGATTCAAGCGGAGGAAAGTGACGTGAGCAGCATCCATCCATGCATTGACTCATGGCCCTTTCCTCTCACCACCAGGTGAAGCGACTGAAGCAGGTGTATAGGAAGTGGGAAAGATGTGATAATGATGATGATTCAGTTAAAGCCCGCATTCCGGATTGCCCACGGTAGAACTTTTTACTAGGGACGTGGAGGTTGGCAAACTTTTTTTAGGGTTCGCTATCCAACCAAAAAAAATCCCCTGTTCAACTGCTTAACTTTTGGACAATCAGGACCTCGGGCTTTAAGTAACAACGTCTCATCCCACTCCCTCTCACGACCAGGTCAGACGTCTGAGCAGCTCTGTACCAAGTGGGAGCAGGACCCAGCAGTCAAGATGACATGAAGTGATTCCATGTACTACGCAGTCAAATGCAATAAGACCATGCCTGCTCTCTCATCCCTCCCTCTCACCACCCGGTGAAGCGTGTGAAGCAGCTGTATACCAAGTGGGAGCAGGAACCAGCGGTCAAGTTGAGTGATGAATTGAGGTGTGATGTGTCTGTCACTATCTCATCCCTCTCTCTCATCACCACGTCAAGCGTCTGAAGCAGCTGTAAAGCAAGTGGGAGGAGGACCCTGCAGTCAAGATCATGTGATGATGAATATCCGGGTCATTGTTGCTCACCTTCCATCTCAAGCCATCCCATCCCTCCTTCTCTCCCTCCCTCGCACCACCAGGTCAAGCGCATGAAGCAGCTGTATACCAAGTGGGAGCAGGACCCAGCAGTCAAGATGATACTTCTGAAGGCCAATGGACGGGCCTTTTGTGCGGGCGGGGATGTGCGGACGGTGTACCAGCAGGGGAAGCAGGGCAAGGTGAGAAGAGGGGGTGATAGATGGAGGTGCTTGAGGTGCCTGTAAGGTCAGCGTGATCCTTCACAAGGCCAACGGACGGGCCTTCTGTGCGGGCGGAGATGTGAGGATGGTCTACCAGCAGGGGAAGCAGGGCAAGGTGAGCCATTGACTGGTGCAAGCGAGCAGTTAAATCAGGGCAAGATGAGTCATTGACTGTGGTTCAAGCGAGCAGCTAAAGCAGGGCAAGGTGAGTCATTGACTGTGGTGCAAGCGAGCAGTTAAAGCAGGGCAAGGTGAATGATGAATTCTTTGTTCTTGCTGCTGTCGCCTTGCAACAGATTGATGATTTAGCGGATAGCTCAATGCGGAGTACATGGCAGCGACCATACATACAGTTCCTTCCATCCATGGCTGCCTGTTACGTTCTTCTCTTTTTTCCCTTCTCTTCCTCTCCCCCAGGTGGCTGACTGCTGCGAGTTCTTCCGCTCAGAGTACGAGCTCAACTACCTCATCGCGTGCCTCACCAAGCCCCACGTGGCACTCATCAACGGGGTCGTGTTTGGCGGCGGCAACGGCATCTCCATGCACGGGCCGTTCCGAGTGGTCACTGAGAACGCTGTGAGTGTGTGCGTGCGTTTGCATGTGTGGGAGTGTATGTGAGCGTGTGAGTGTCACCAAGCCCGCATCGCGTTCATCAACGGGGTTGTATTTGGCGGGGGCAATGGCATCTCCATGCACGGCCCATTCCGAGTGGTTACTGAGAATGCTGTGAGTGTGTGGGTGTGGGTGTGGGGGTGTGTGTGTGTGTGTGTGTGTGTGTGTGTGTGTGTGTGTGTGGGTGGGTGGGTGGGTGGGCGGGAATGGGTGCTGTGAGAACGCTGTGAGTTCCACTCGGTTTGCTGCACTCCTCCTTTCTCTATCAGGTCGTTGCCATGCCTGAACCCTAATGTCGGTGCTTCCCGCTACCCGTTCCTGATTCCCCATCCCCATCCACCCATTCCCACTCTTCCCCCCCCTCCTCCCCCCCCCTCCATCAGGTCTTCGCCATGCCTGAGACGGCCATTGGCCTGCACCCAGACGTTGGTGCCTCCTACTTCCTCTCTCGCCTCCCGGGCCACATGGGTGCGTGGTCCTTTCCCCTCCCCCCTTCGTTTGATACCACCAAGCACATCATCTCGTTATCTACTGTGCTTCATCCCTCTACCCTGCTGAGAATCCTTTGTTCCCATAATCACCATTCGTTTCCATCACTCCCTCCACCCCCTCACTCCTCTTCCCCCCCCCCGGGGTTAAGTATTTTGGTTTTGAGACGTCCCAAAACTGAACCACTCGTCCCTCTTCCCTGCGGAGAACCCGTTGTTCCCATAATTGCCATTCGTTTCCATCACTCCCCCCTCACCCCCGCACTCCCCTCTCCCCCCTCCTTTTCCTCTCGCTCCTCTCCAGGAGAATACCTAGCCCTGAGTGGAGCCAGGGTCCTGGCACCTGACATGCTTTCCTTGGGCCTAGCTACTCACTTCATACCTTCGGATCGGCTGCCGAGCCTGGAGAACAGGCTCGGGTGCATAGGCACGGGTGATCCTGAAGCAATCCACCTGGCTATCCAGGAGCATGCAGAGCGGGTGCTGCCCGCTAAAGGGGGGATAATATCGAGGGCTGCAGTCATAGACGCCTGCTTCAGTAAGAGCACAGTGGAAGGAGTATTCACCGCCCTTTTGAATCACGCGTCTGCCACTTCAGCGAGCCACCCGGGGTGGAGTGCTGACGATGCGGCGTGGGCAGCAGAGACGCATGCACTGCTTGCGCGCATGTCCCCGACGGCGCTAAAAGTGTCTTTTAGGAGCGTGAGGGACGGCAGGATGGAGTCGCTGGCGCAGTGCCTGCAGAAGGAGTATCGGCTGAGCGTGCGTGCTTGTAACGAGGCTGTGACGGGGGACTTTTACGAGGGAGTGCGAGCGGTGTTGGTGGATAAAGATGGGAAGCCCAAGGTGAGATGTGAGGGGTTGAATAGGGTGGACTGGGGTGTGTGTGGGCTAGGGAGAGGGAGAGCGAGAGGGAGAGGGAAGTTAGCACGCTTTGGGGTGGTTGTTGGGCGGTTGGGTGGTGTTGGTCGGGTGGTCGTGTTTGGGGAATGGAGTCGCGTTCTCAGTGTCTCCATGCCTGCAGAAGGAGTACCAGCTGAGCGTGTGTGCCTGTAATGGGGCGTACCTACTTCTACTTAGCCATATGCAGTGGAACCCCGCTCAGCTCTCCCAGGTGTCAGCTGGCACGATTTTTTACCTTTCCTGGCACGTGGCGTAGTGTAACACGTTCCCCCTCTCTCTTCCCCATTTTGGCTGGATCGTACCATGCGCTCTGGAACCCCGCTCAGCTCTCCCAGGTGGCGGCTCACATGATCGCTGGCACATGGCATGGTGTAACACTTTCCTCCTCTCCCTTTTTCATTTTGCCTGGATCGTACCATGCGCTCTAGAACCCCGCTCAGCTCTCCCAGGTGTCGGCTCACATGATCTCTGGCACATGGCATGGTGTAACACTTTCCTCCTCTCCCTATTTCATTTTGCCTGGATCGTTCGTGTCGGTTGCAGTGGAACCCCGTTCAGCTCTCCCAGGTGTCGGCCCGCACTGTCTCCAGTCTCTTTGAGCCACTGTCTCCGAATGAGGAGCTTCGCCTGCCGGTGCGTGGGAGGGCGCATGGCGCACGCTTGTGACAATCCTCACCTCAGGGGCGTTGTCCCCAGCCTCTTTGGGCCACTGCGCCCTGAGGAGGAGCTTTGCCTGCCCATGCGTGGGAGGGAAGGTGGTGGTGGTGAGAGGAATGATTACAAGCGCAGTGCACGCATGTGATAGCCCCTTGGGGGTGACGCGGCCATTCTAGGACAGGAGATTCTGATTCCCACTGCTTTGTGGGAAGGAACTTTACTTGCTTGTGGATGACAAGGAGGGTGTGGTGGTGACAGGGATGCTCACCACGTTTGTGATAGCCCCTCACTGGAGGTAATTTGGCGAGAACGATACCAGGTGGTGTGATGCAGGACAATTTTATGCAGTAGAAGAGTTCAACTGTTCTATCAAATAACTGTTCTGAACTGGATTTGGATGTGGCGTGGGGCTGCAATATGTTAAATTAAATATTGAGTTATATAATTGTTAGGCTTGGTAGGTTACCGAATTTTACTGTGGAGGGTACAATCCCCTCCTTGTATGCCTCTCTCTTTCTAATCCAACCCTCTTTTCTCTCCTCAACTTTTCTCCTTAAACTTCACTCCATGGATCCTCCTAACTAAACCTCATGCCTTTCCTAGCTGTTAGAATACGAGAATGAATGACTAGTGTGAGAAACCTAGAACATATACCTGTTGGGGTTGTACTCACTAGTAGCACACACCTAAGCTAGCCTATAACTTCTACATACAGCATATGTATAAGTTGACACACCCCCTAGGCTAGAAAAGGGGTGGTGCTAAGCAAGAAGCACAAAGCTTAGGGTGACACTACTAGTCCAACCACTGAGTCAGGGGTCTGGAGACCAGTCAGCAAGAGTACAAACAAGACTAAAGCAAGCTAGGGCGGCACTACTAGTCCAGCCACTGGAGGTAAGGCCACAAGGCCAGTCAGACAGGTATATATAGTGGAGAGTACACAATCAGGGTCCTAACAAGTGAGAAGCTACAGGAACAAGACCAAGCTGTACACAGTGTCGCTGATGATCTTTAGGCGCAAGCGCCTTAGTAAAGATATCAGCTGTCGTGGCACCAGAGGCCAAGTGAACTACGCGAGCCTGGCGACGCTGCTGCAGCTCGCGCATGAGGAAGTACCGCAGCTGGATATGCTTCGCTCTGCCCTCAAGTCGAGGCTCCTGACACACTAGAATCATGGCCCTGTTGTTAGCGTACAGAACCGGGGCAGAGCTAGGCCGCTCACCCAGGTATGTGAGCAAGAAGGTCAGCCGGCGGAGCTCCTGTGCCGCCATGGCACCGGCGTAGATGTCAGCCTCACAACTGGACTGAGCAACAGACGACGAGCGAGTGGATCTCTTGGAGACCAAGGCTAAAACAGTAGCCCTGAGACGACCTGAGACTCTCGGAGTCGTCTGCCCAAGAAGCGTCTGTGTGCCCAGTGAGGACCACTGGCCTGCGTCCTCCAAGCACTAACCCCATGCCTGATGTACTTGCTAGATATCGCAAAACCCTCTTAGCGGCCGACCAGTGCTGTGGTCGGTGTCTACCAGTGGCCACAAAGCGAGCCAGGATGCTGAGAGGGTATGCGAGATCTGGGCGAGTGCAAGTCATCAGGTACATAAGGCAACCCACCAACTCTGCGTAGGGTCCACTGGGCTTTACTGGCTCCTCAGGAACGGGAGCGGAGAGCCCATGGTCTACACGTAGAGGTGTGGGCTATGCGGAGGAGAACTGAAGACCGAACCTCTGAAGGACCTGACGCACCAAGTGTGACTGTGTCAGAGTGATGGTGCGTGCTACTCTGTCCGTGGAGATCTGTAGGCCAAGATAGCGCCGCAGCTCTCCAAGGTCGGTACAGGTGTGTCTCTTAAGCGGCTCGGCCTTCACGGAGGCCAGTGCGTCCCTGTCGGCAGTAGCGAAGACCAGGTCGTCTACGTAGACAAGGATGTAGAACGGAGTCACGCCGGAACGCACAAAAAACGAGGGGTCAGCAGAGGACGGAAAGAACTGCAAGTCTGCTAGCGTGGCACGCAGCATGTCGTGCCACTCGCGGGGAGCCTGGCGCAGACCGTAGACTGGGTGCCTGAGAAGCCACTGGGTCCCAGGGGGGAAAGTACCAGTGAAGCCCTCTGGTCGACGCAGGTAGACCTGCTCGTGTAGGCTGCCCTGAAGAAAGGCAGTAGAGAAGTCGAGGGAGTGAAGCTCGTAGTCGCGCTGTGCTGCTATGTGTAGCAGTGCCCGAAAAGTAGTCATCTTCGGGGTCGGGGCGAAGGTCTGGAAGAAGTCCACCCCCTCACGCTGGCTGAGGCCTCTAGCCACGTAGCGCGCCTTGAAGACATGCGGCTCTCCCGGCGGGCGCTTCACCTTGAAGAGCCACCGACCATCGACTACGTTCACCGCAGGAGCGGGAACTGTGTCGATGTAAGTGCCGATGGACCTCCAAGATGCCATCTCCTGCTCCATGGCAGCTATCCACTGAGAGGCCCAGGGTCCCGAGGTGGCATCAGCGTAGGTGCGAGGGGTCGAGATGTCGAAGGCGACTGGGTCACCCTCTAGGATTAGGAGCATGGAGCAGAGATGGGGAGCGGCCTCGAAAAGGAAAGCAAGCTCGTACTGGCTGCCCTCTAGAACGTCACTGCCAAGGGCAGGTGCACCCCCGACAGACGGAGGACGGGCAGGGTCAGAGACCAGAGCGGTAGCGTAGTCAAGGCGGCGGGTAGAGGCGAAGTCAGCGACAACAGCGACAAGCGCGTCAAGGTGCGAGACAGGAACAAACGGGTCTATAACAAGAGAGGCAAGAACCCGAGAGACAAGGGGACGAGCGGCACGGAGGTAGTCAGATAGCGGGAGAGGTGCAACAACAAGCGACGAGGGAGGAGGCGACAGGAGGAGGGGAGGACGAGACGAGTGGGAACGGAGCAACATAGGGTGGGAGCGCAGGACAGGAGAGACGGGACGAGCACGAGAGGGACGGCGAGACCAAACGTGGGACGGAGGTGTAGGGTCAGGAGAGAGTGGAGGGGACACGAGAGGGGAACGAGGAGGAAGACGGGCCGGAGACGAGTCCGGCGGCGGGAACACATGGCCGTAGACAGGAAGGTGAGGAGGTGGCGGGGGAGACACCGGCGAGCGGTCAGGGGAGGGAAGGCCGATCAGGCGAAGAGCGGAGACCGGTTGCGATGGCTGGTGCTCGACCCCCGGACCGGCAGAGGCACGACAACCGCCGGGAGAACACTCAACAGCAGCACCCCCAGAACCAACACCCCCAGAGCGAGAACTCCCTCCAGCACCAGCGGCATTCCAAGACCCGCTGGGACAGACTACTCGGGGAGCCGCAGGACGCACACCCTCCTCAACGTCAGCACCCCTGAGGCCAAGAGCGGCAGCGGCGGCGACGGCGGCGGCTGCGACGGCGGCGGCGGCAGCGGCTGCGGCGGCGGCGGCGACTGCGACAGCGGAGCTGGAGTCACCGGGGAAGGGGGATACGGCAAGGATGGGCCGGGGGGACCACAAGAGTCAACAGACTTCTCAACGGGGACAACCGATGGGAGAGGACTGACATGAGAGACACCAGACGGGGCAGGAAGAGGCGGAGGGGGAGCAGGGGCTACCGGGGGAGAGGGAGCAAGGAACAGGGGCAGGGAAACCGGTGGAACTCGGTGAGGGAGGCGACGGTAGAAGGAGACATACTCGTCAAAGGTGACGTCACGAGAGTGGAGGAAGCGGTGAGACGGCGGGTTATAGAAGAGCCAGTCAGACGAGTCCAAAGGGAAACCAAGGGAGACACAGGGGACAGTGCGGGCAGTGAGCTTGTTCGTGCCAGAGGCACGAACGTGAGCAAGGCAACCCCAAACATGGAACGCAGATGCGTCACCGGGGGACCCGGTCCAAAGGAGGTTCGGCGAAACCTGCGGCCGCTGGGAGCGTGGCCACAAGTTAAGCTGGTGAGCAGCGTAGCAAACAGCAAACGGCCACAGAAAATGGGGGGTATCGGCATGGATCATGGATGTGAGAGTACGACCTCGTTCCATTCCTTTCTCCTTTCCTTTTCATTCATCTTTCCATGTTGATCCATTTCATTTGGTTTTTATCTCATTCCATTTGGATTCCTATTTCTCCTTTTCCATAAACCTTTGATTTATCCTGTTATTATCATTATATCACCAACCAGGCACAGGATGTACTGGTGCGCTATATCTAGCGTAATCGTGCCGTAATCCCTTAAAACCAATAGCCTCGCGTGGCTATACGCAGGGTGATTCTATCTTCTAGAAGGGTCTATTCCCTTAGGATGAGATAAACCTGGTTACCTGATGTACTTTGGAAGTATAAAAGCGCCTTGTACTGATCGATAGTGGAACCTTTCCTTGACACATTCGATCCTGTGACAATGAAGGTACGAGCCACCTCCATGACCAAGCCGATGCGGCGCTCAGCAACCCTATTCTGCTGTGGTGAGTCCGGCAAGCTGTACGAGTGGGTGATGCCCTCCGCACGACAGAACTATCCAAGCCGACCAGAGGCGAACTCGCCGCCACGGCAGAGTGGAGACACAACACGGGGAGACCGCGGTGAAAACGCGCAGCCACAACCCACGGTAGAAGAACGTCGGGCACGTCGGCCTTCCGCTCGAGGGGAAACACCATGGTGTAGCGCGTATAGTCGTCGACGAGCACAAGAAAGTAGCGCTCACCACGCAGTTCGGGGACGGGGGCCGGGCCCCAAACGTCCAGGTGCAGGGTCTGAAGGGGGGCAGTAGCAGGGCGAAGAGAGGAGGAGTGAGGAGCACGGCGGAGCCGGCCCTCGACGCAAGGCGTGCACGGTGGCGCAGTCGAGGGGGGAAGGGCAGGGAGCGACGCGGGGAGGCCTAAGACAAGACCGTGATGAGACATGTGACGCGGACGCGGGAGAGCAGGATGACCTAAGCGGTGGTGCCACAGAAGGGACGGGTGAGTGAGGGACCGACACGAGCAAGCAGCAGCGACCTGGGAGGACGCACCAACCGGGGGGGAAGCGTTGTCGAGGGTAAATAGACCGGACACCGGGTCATGGAGGAACCTCGCAAGGGGGGAACCTGAGATTGCCTCAGAACAGACAGCGAACTGCTCGTGCCTGGGGAACGTAGTGGTGACGCCGAGGTCCTGGAGACAGCCGACACCAACCAGGTTCCTCGAGAACGAGGGAACGTGGAGGCCTGTAAGAGAGCCCGAGGGAACGGCTAGACAGGGAAGGGAAATGGAACTGCGAGCGACGACAAGACCCGCAGAGGGGTCAGCGAGAGAGACAACAGCATGCGCAGCAAGCGGCGTGAGCGTGGACCGGTCGTGGAAGAAACAGGCAGAAGCACCGGAGTCGGGAGTGAAGGACACCGAGGCAGTAGCGGAGGCCGGGAACGGAGCCAGTGCAGAAACTAGGCTAGGCAAACTAGGCAATCCTACGCCTGATGCAGCAGGGGAGGCTAAGCTACACAAGGGTGCGACACCTAAACTAGAGTACGCAGGGTAATAAGATCCAGCAACACTAGAAGCGTCAGAATACAAGGCATGCAAAGCAGCACCTATCTGATCCATGTCTAACTCAAAGATCGGCACGCCCTGTCGGAGCAGGCTGTGCCAGTCGGGGAGGTCCGGGGCCGGGCCAAAGCGACAACGAAAGAGATCGTCGAGGCGGCAGAAACAGTGGGCGGTCGGGTGCGGGCGGTGGCACCGAGTGCCGCGGAGAGGCCTGGTCTGAAGCTGGTACTGGCAGGTCACAGTACCGGAGCTGCCGGTAGACGCCAAGCTGCGCGGGCCGCCACCACGGCCACCACCTCCGGAGGTGCCGGGCCAACCAGGCAGGAGACGAGCCCACGGCTGCGGCGGCTGCTGCTGGGACGGCGGCTGCTGCTGGGGCTGCTCCTGCTTCGGAGGCGACTGCGTCAGCTCCTGCCCACCGGTGGTAGTCGCGTCAGGCGGACTACCGTCACCACCACCACTACCACTACCACCAGCTCCACCACCACGACCGCCCTGGCGGCCACGGACAGTGGGGCGCGGGCGCTGCTGCGGGTGTAGCGCAGCAGCCGTCTCGGTAAGAGGGGTCGCAGTGACGACCGCAGCCGAAACGTCAGTAAACGTGCACTGGGAGGGGGCACAGCCGTGAAAGACAGAGACTGCCGGCGCACCGCTCGACTGAGCGATAGTGCGCTGGCGAGTCTCGATCTCGGTTAGGGTGTCGACAAAGGCGGTCAGGGTGAGGTCACCAGGGTGCTGGCTAAGGAAGCGGTCGTGAGCACTAGCGAGGCGGTCTAGCAGGCGCATGGCGATAAAATAGAGTGTCATGCAGAAAGGGGGGGGGAGCGCAGCGAGCTGGGCAGCAGTGGTGGCAGTGCGATAGCGAGACTCTAGAGCACGCAAGTGAGTGGCAAAGTCTGAGACAGTAGGGAAGGCAGCAAGGTCTGGGAACAGCATCGGGAAGAGCAAGCGGCCACAGAAGCGGATGCAGGCGTAGAATAGCGATCAAGAATTGCGTCTAAATAAGCTTTGGCCGTATCAAGCGTAGCTAAGCGCCAGCGCTCAGACACTGTGACGGCATGACCGATGGCAATCTGAGCTACTGCATCGCGAGAGTCCCAGACCGCACGGGCAAGAGCAGCATTAGAGAAAGCCTTTATCTCAGCAGAGGTGGGGTCTGCAGGGAGGGGAGCAGGTGCAGGGGGGCGGGGGAGCAAGCCATCAGCATGGACCACCAAAGAGTGCCCATCCTGGCGCTGAACTGTAAGCTGACGGCGGAGATCGGAGAGCCAGGCGGCAAAGTCAACCGCGTGGCCCTCAGCGTCCAGTCGGAGCACGAAGTCAGCCATCATGCAGGGTCAGCGACACAGCTCCTCAGCGACACAGCTCCAGAGCTCCGCAGGAGCACAGCGGCACGGGGACACGGCGCAGCACTCTCCAGTAGGGCGGCTGCGAGGCGCACCTGTGCGGGCGAGCAGAGGACACAGGGCCCGAGGTGGCGCGACAGGCCGAGCAGGCACGAGGAGGGGCCGGCGGGCAGTAGGAGGGGCCGGGCTGGCGCTGGGAGCTGGGAAAGTGCGACGGGGCCGAGCAGGCGCGAGAGGCCGAGCAGGCGCTAGGAGGGGCCGGGCAGGCGCATTCGGGCCGGGCGGGCGCTAGGAGGGGCCGGGTAGGCGCGGGGCGGCCGGGCAGGCGCGACTGGGGCCAGGCGGGCGCTAGGAGGGGCCGAGTGGGCGCTGGGAGCCGAGCGGGCGCGAAAGGCCGGGCAGCGCTAGGAAGAGGCCGGGCGGGCGCTGCTGGGGCCGGGCTGGCGCTAGGAGGGGCCGGGTGGGAGCTACTGGGGCCGGACGGGCGCGAGGAAGGGGCCGGGCTGGCGGGAGCTAGGAGGGGCTGGGCGGTAGCTAGGACGGGCCTAGCGAGCGGAACGGGGCCGGCCTGGCGCGAAAGGCCGGGCGGGCGCGATAGGCTTGGCAGGCGCGAACGGGGCCGAGCGGCCGTGAGAGGGCCGGGCGTGTGCTACGGGCCGGGCGGGCGCTAAGGGCGGGCGCGACAGGGGTCGGGCTGCCGTGAGAGGGCGCGGCAGGGGCCGGGCGGGCGTGCGCTGGGAGGGGTCGGACGTGCGCTACGAGCCAGGCGGGCGCAACAGGCCGGGCGGGCGCGATGGGGCCTAGCGGGTGCGACGGGGCCGAGTGGGCGTAACGGGGGCCTAGCGGGCGCGAAAGGGCCAGGCCTAAGGGGCTAGCTAGGGCGAGTAGGCTAGGGCGCGGACGGAAGCGGGTGGGCGGGGGACCTAACCTAAGCGTGATACCCTGTTAGCATATGAGGATGAAAAACTAGTGTGAGAAACCTAGAACATATACCTGTTGGGGTTGTACTCACTAGTAGCACACACCTAGGCAAGCCTATAACTTCTACATACAGCATATGTATAAGTTGACACTAGCTTCCTAGCTAAGCTACCCTTCTGACATGCTATCAGAGCAGGAGATCCTCCCTGCTGGACCGCCTTCTCACGCTTCCGCCGCGTACTCCTCGCCCTGTTCGCTCGCGCGGCCATGGCAGCCGCGTTGTGCTACAGTGGCGGCGTCGTGATGCCGCTGGCTGCGTCGTGCCACTGCCGTCTCGGCGCGCTGCTGTGGTGTCGGGCCGTCGTGCTTCCGTCGCAGCGTCGATGTCCCGCCGCGACGTCGACATCGCTCTGTGACGGCGTCGTCGGGCTGCAGCCAGCCGCGCGATGCTTGTGGCGCTGCTAGACTCGCCGCCCGCATGCCAGCTTGTGGCGCCCCCCCGCCTTCCCCTGTGTTCTCTTCCTTTTCGCAGACGTCGGCTGACTCCCGCCGGCCGTCCCACCGTCGCGGGGCCTGGCCACGTCAACGAGAGGTGCGGGCGCCGCCGCCGCCGCCGCTGTTGTCGAAGCCGCCGCCGCCGCCGCTGTTGACACTGCCGCCGCTGCCGCCGTCGCCGCCGCAGCCCCTGCGGTCGACGTCGCCGCCTCACGCGCCGAGGGGTCGACCGAGCTAGTATCGCTGTCACTGTGGCTGGAAAGGGGGTGCTAGGTTAGGGGGTGTGGGTGTGTGTGGGCATGTGACTACCAAGCCTAGGGGTTGTGTTAAAATATATATTCAGTTATATAATTGTTAGGCTTGGTAGGTTACCGAACTTTACTGTAGAGGGTACAATCCCCTCCTTGTATGCCTCTTTCTTTCTATTCCAACCCTCTTTTCTCTTCACAACATTTCTCCTTCCTAAACCTCAATCCACACCATGGCTCCTCCTAGCTAAACCTCATGCATGTCCTAGCTTCCTAGCTAAGCTAGCCTTCTAACACAATATTGGCTTGGGAATGGTGATGGGATAACCAAAGTTTACGCATACCTTGCAGGGACAACAGAACGACGTGAAAGCGTTGGAGTGCAAATGATAGGAAGACTCACACCAATTATTATAGATTTGGGCTTGTAAGCATATGGATAGAGATAGCTAGAATTATGTGGATGTGCCGCACCAATGAATATAAGCGATTGCCATTCCCGTCGCAACAAAAGTGAAACTGGACGGTATTGCAACAACGCGTTTTCTGTTGGTTTGTGTCACAGCACCCACACGTTCCACTTCTGTTCGAGGCACATGCTGATCCGAAGGCTTGTGATCACGGATGATGACGTGGAAGCCATCTGCTGGCTTGTTGGTTTGTGGTGGTTCAGGTTTGCAGCGACAGCTGCTTCAGCGGCAGGCACGCCGACCTCTGCGGCCTCAGGCAATGTCGGTAGCCAATCAAACGCGGCAGCATGACCATTGGGTGCAACGGTGCCGATTTCCGTGTTAACCCTGAACCCTCGATTCTGTTCAGGGCTGACCCTCCGAAGTTCCAAGTTTAGCAGAAGGCTCATACGACATACAAATTCGAGTCTGTTCTAGCTTCAAGTTAGGCAGCCTCCTACTGCAGCATTTATAAGACTCTCGTTCAGTACCCTGGATTCCCAAGAGATAACGAGACGATTATCCTAGCCGAGCAATAACGAGGTAGCCCCCGCGGCGACTCGGGTGTCCCCGAGCCGCAACAGTTTTACATTTGCAACATTGCAATGCAAGGGTGTCTTGCACCCACAAGTTCTTGGCAGCATGTGGTGCACGTTTGTGAACCCCCCTGGCGTGTTTCGCATGCCATCCATGCGAGGAAAATACACAGGTAACCAGCTTCGTTACTTCATCGTGCCCATCACCAGTCGCTGACGAACCTCTTGATGGATAGCGAAGAAGTTCAAGAAATGTCGGTGCATCGCAAGAAAATCGCACCCGCGGCTGCTCACACAGGCAGATGCATCTTCATGCAACCTCTAGGTTCAAGCACCTCCCATCAAGCAAATCACCCTTGTACAAATAGGTGGTTCTTCTAACAGAGTTATGAGTCATTCTTGTCAGCAGCTTCCCTCTCTAGCAAGACCTCAGACTGACTTGTGTCTTACATATCGCATAAGCAGACCGAGCCGTACAACAGTTTCTTTCACTAATAACAACTTAGCGCCACGCGTCGCGTTCTTAGACCAGTTCGTCAACGCAAACGAAATGGCGGGATCAGGCCGGCACGTACACCTCCTCCTGTGCCTCGTGCTCATAGGTAAAGTCGAATTCCATCCCTCATCAGAAAATCCACGCGACACCCTAACGCGCAATCTCCCAAGCTTCGAAACTCGGATACTCGACCGTGTGATGAGCACACCTTATTTCTACCCTCCTCCCATCCTTTCCTTCCCCTGCGTGCGTTCTTCCGCGTCTTTTCAGGCACGATCGTGGTTGCGATGGATCCGCGACCTTATGCTGAACTTCCTGTTGCTTCTACTCCCCCCCCCCCTTTTTCTTTCTATTCGTTGCGCGTCTTTTCAGGCACGATTGTGCGCGCGGACGCCAAGTACATCGTGGTGGGGAAGGGCAGCGGGTCGCTGTTCGGGCAGATCTTCAGCCCGTGGACGTTCGGCGTGAGCAGCTGGAAGGCGCCCAAAGTCTATGCCGGCGACCAGCTCGGTGAGTCGCGTGACAGAAACTGTATACTCTCAGTGCATATACAGACTGTATGACACATGCTTAGTGTGCATTGGCTGTGGCCGGTGATGGTCGGCGTGGGCAGGCGCCCAAAGTTTACGCCAGGACCAGCTCTATGAGTCGCGACGTGACAATCAGACTCATTCCAAGTCGTAGTAGAATGAGATCGGTCGATTAATGGAAGGAATAGCTGTATATGTTCTCTGTCGCGCATCCGTCAGTATCCAACGAGTCATGCTTCCTTGATCGTTCAATTCCTCGTCGCTTTCCCCTCTTCCCCCTCCCGCCCCCGCTATCACCTCCCCTTTTTTTACCGGTCAGTCTTTCGATGGGTGCTGCCGCACAACGTGAAGAAATTCAGCGACGGCGCTAGTTACTCGGTGTGCGATTTCACATTCGCGAAGACTCTGCAGGGCACGTCGTACGTGGGCCTCCTCTCGTACACCGTCCAGGACGGCGACAAGGGCCAGACGCTGTATTTTGGAAGCTCTGAGTCGTCGGACTGCAAGCGTAACCTCAAGGTGCAGGTTCCTGTGCAGCTGTTTTAAAACGATTCGATATAAGCTGGTCCAGCAACAGGTAGCTGCTGCCTACTGGAAGTACACGGTCAAGGACGGCGACAAGGGGCAGACGCTGTATATTGGAAGCTCTGATTCATGGACGGACCCACGCGGAACCTCAAGGTGCAGATCCCAGAGCAGATCCCAGGTGCAGATCCTCGATATAGGTAGCTTACGATACTGTAACTTAGGACTTAAGAAACGGGGCTGTTTGATTGTTGCGCGGGAACCCTACCGTGGCCTGGAATATGCCTTGTTGATGGAGACGTGCTTTGCAGCTCGTGGTGTGTAGATTATGTATGAGATGTCTGGGATGGTGAATAATTGCGAGCTCATGTTAATTAGTGTCATCGCCTGTCCTTACCCGACGACATCACCATGCATGGATTATAACAATCGGACTCAGACAAAACCTAGACATGTAACCGGCTGACATACCACCACCGCTTCATTACCCGGTGAGCATGCTCCTGAATGTGACGAACCCTCAGTCCTGATCCCTTACTTCCTAGCCCTTTTTTTTTCCCCACAAATGCTCTAAAGAAAATCCTTCCACATTTTGTAGAAGCTTCGCATGCGCCTACTAAACTCTTGCATCATATTCTCGCTGCGGTCATGTCATAAAATCACCAATTCTAACCACTAGGACAAAGAAGGGATGCCATCAGGAGGGTTAGGCTCCATATATCCACCTTCCCCGGGGAAAGGCTCCCCAGTACCCTCCCTAGAGAGAGAGAGAGGATCTACAGAGTTATCCCGGTGCCACGACACACCCCCCCGTTGGGATAGCGTCAGGGCCTCAGATTGCAGGCTTTGTACAATGATTCATGATAAAATCAGGGCTTTTTTTAGGGGATAATGCCAACTTATACATATGCTGTATGTAGAAGTTCTACGCTAGCCTAGGTGTGTGCTTCTAGTGAGTACAACCCCAACAGGTACATGTTCAAGGTTTCTCACACTAGTCCATTCATTCTCTCTTTCTAACATGGTATCATGAATAGGTTCGGTTCCTCTCGCCCGCCCACGCTTCCGCCCTAGGCCCTAGCCGCCCTCGTGACCCGTCTCTAGCTGGCCCCCTCCCCCCTGGCTGTCCCGTCTACCCTTAGCCGGCCCCCTGGCAGTCGCGCCCGCCCCTGGCTGGCCCCCAGGCCGTCGCGTCCGCCCCTAGCCGGCCCCCTGGCCGTCGCGTCCGCCCCTAGTCAGCCCCCCCGGGCCATCGCGCCCGCCCCTAGCTGGCCCCCTGGCCGTCGCGTCCGCCCCTAGCCGGCCCCCTGGCCGTTGCGTCCGCCCCTAGCCGGCCCCCTGGCCGTCGCGTCCGCCCCTAGCCGCCCCCCTGGCCGTCGCGTCCGCCCCTAGCCGGCCCCCTGGCCGTCGCGTCCGCCCCTAGCCGGCCCCCTGGCCGTCGCGTCCGCCCCTAGCCGGCCCCCTGGCCGTCGCGCCCGCTCCTAGCTGGCCCCTTGGCCGTCGCGTCCGCCCCTAGCCAGCCTCCTGGCCGTCGCGTCCGCCCCTAGCTGGCCCCCTTGCCGTCGCGCCCGCCCTTAGCTGGCCCCCTGGCCATCGCGTCCGCCCCTAGCCGGCCCCCTGGCCGTCGCGCCCGCCCCTAGCTGGCCCCCTGGTCGTCGCGTCCGCCCCTAGCCGGCCCCCTGGCCGTCGCGTCCGCCCCTAGCAGGCCCCCTGGCCATCGCGTCCGCCCTTAGCTGGCCCCCTGGCCATCGCGTCCGCCCCTAGCCGGCCCCCTGGCTGTCGCGTCCACCCCTAGCCGGCCCCCTGGCCGTCGCGTCCGCCCCTAGCCGGCCCCCTGGCCGTCGCGCCCGCCCCTAGCTGCCCCCCTGGCCGTCGCGCCCGCCCCTACCCGGCCCCCAGGCCGTCACGCCTGCCCCTAGCCGGCCCTCTGGCCGTTCGCGCCCGCCCCTAGCCGGCCCCCTGGCCGTCGCGTCCACCCATAGCCGGCCCCCTGGCCGTCGCGTCCGCCCCTAGCCGGCCCCCTGGCTGTCGCGCCCGCCCCTAGCTGGCCCCCTGGCCGTCGCGCCCGCCCCTAGCCGGCCCCCAGGCCGTCGCGCCCGCCCCTAGCTGGCCCCCTGGCCGTTGCGTCCGCCCCTAGCCGGCCCTCTGGCCGTTCGCGCCCGCCCCTAGCCGGCCCTCTGGCCGTCGCGCCCGCTCCTAGCCGTCCCCCTGGCCGTTCGCGCCCGCTCCTAGCCGGCCCCACCTAGCGCCCGCCCGCCCCCCCCCTCTACCGCCCGCCCGACCCCTCCACAGCGCCCGCCCGGCCCCTGCTAGCGCCCGCCCGGCCTGTTGCGCCCGCCCGTCCCACACCGCCCGCCCGGCCCCACCCAGCGCCTGCTCGGCCCCGATACGCCTGCCCGGCTCCTGCGGCCCGCAGCTCCCAGTGCCTGCCCGGCTCCTGCGGCTCCGTGTCTTCTGCTTGGAACGGTTCCTCGGGTCTCCGGCCTCGTGTCTTCTGCTTGCCAGCGCTGGAGCGTCCTGTAGACGTCCCCCTAGCACTGTGCTGCTGTGTCCCTGTGTCGCTGACCCTGCATGATGGCTGAGTTCGTACTCCGCCTGGACGCTGAGGGCCATGCGGTTGACTTCGCCGCCTGGCTTTCCGATCTCCGCCGTCAACTCACAGGTCAGCGCCAGGAAGGGCACTCCTTGGTTCTCCATACTGATGGCTTGCTCCCACCCCTCCTTGCGCCTGCTCCCCTCCCTGCTGACCCCACCTCTGCTGAGCGTGAGACTTTCTCTGCTGCTGCACTTGCCTGTGCCGTCTGGGACTCTCGCAATGCAGTTGCTCAGGTCGCTATCAGTTACGCCCTCCCTGTGTCTGAGCGTTCGCGTTTTGCTACATTTAATACAGCCAAGGCTTACTTAGAAGCTGTTGTTGCTCGCTATTCCACGCCTGCCTCCGCTACTGCAGGCCGCCTACTCTTCCCTATGCTTTTCCTAGACCTTGCTTCCTTCCCTACTGTTGCTGACCTTGCCACTCACCTGCGCGCCCTAGAGTCTCGCTACCGCACTGCTAGCACTGCTACCCAGATCACTGCGCTCCCTCCCCCCTTCTGCATGACCCTCTACTTTATCACCATGCGCCTGCCTGACCGCCTTGCTAGTGCACGCGACCACATCCTTAGCCAGCACCTGGGTGATCTCACCCTGCCAGCCTTTGTCATCGCCCTGACCGAGATCGAGACTCGCCAGCGCACTATCGCTCAGTCGAGCGGTGCGCCGGCAGTCTCTATCTTTCACGGCTGTGCCCCCTCCCAGTGCACGTTTACTGACGTTTCGGCTGCGGTCGCCACTTTGACCCCTCTGACCGAGACTGCAGCTGCGATACACCCGCAGCAGCGCTTGCGCCGCGCCGGTCGTGGCCGCCAGGGAGGGCGTGGTGGTGGAGCTGGTTGTAGTAGTGGTGGTGCCGGGGACAGGGGTTCTACTGAGGGGACTGCCTCAGCTAGTCAGGAGCAGAAGCAGAAGCAGCCGCAGCAGCCGTCGCAGTCGTCGCAGCAGCTGTCCCAGCCCCAGCCGTGGGCTCACCTCCCCCCCTGTTGGCCCGGCACCTCCGTAGGTGGTGGCCGTGGTGGCGGCCCGCGCAGCTTGGCGTCTACCATCAGCTCCGTTGGTGTGACCTGCCAGTACCAGTTTCAGACCGGGCCTCTCCGCGGCACTCTGTGCCGCCGCCCGCACCCGACCGCCCGCTGTTTCTGCCGCCTCGACGATCTCTTTCGTCGTCGCTTTGGCCCAGCCCCGGACCTCCCCGATTGGCATAGTCTGCTTCGCCAGGGCGTGCTGATCTTTGATTTAGATATGCATAAGATAGGTGCTGCTTTGCATGCCTTGTATGCTGACGCTTCTAGTGTTGCTGGATCTTATTACCCTGTGTACTCTAGTTTTGGTGTAGCACCCTTGTGTAGCTTAGCCTCCCCTGCTGCATCAGGCGTAGGACTGCCTAGTTTGCCTAGCCTAGTTTCTGCACCGGCTCCGTTCCCGGCCTCCGCTACTGCCTCGCTGCCCTTCACTCTCAACTCCGGTGCTCCTGCCTGATTCTTCCGCGACCGCTCCACGCTCATGCCGCTTGCTGCGCCTGCTGTTGTCGCTCTCCCTGACCTCTCCGCGGGTCCTGTCGTCGCTCGCAGCTCCACTTCCCTTCCCTGTCCAGCCGTTCCCTCGGGCTCTCTTACACGCCTCCACGTTCCCTCGTTCTCCAGGAACCTGGTTGGTGTCGGCCGTCTTCAGGACTTCGGCGTCACCACTACGTTCCCTGGGCACGAGCAGTTCGCTGTCTGTACTGAGGCTGTCGCAGGTTCCCCCCTTGCGACGTTCCCCCGGGACCCGGTGTCCGGTCTGTTTACCCTCGACACCGCTTCCCCCCCCGGTTGGTGCATCCTCCCAGGTCAATGCAGCTTGCTCGTGTCGGTCCCTCACACACCCGTCCCTTCTGTGGCACCACCGCTTAGGTCACCCTGCTCTCCCGCGCCTGCGTCATATGTCTCAGCATGGTCTTGTCATAGGCCTCCCCGAGTCGTTCCCCGCACTTCCTTCCTCGACTGCGCCACCTTGCACGCCTTGCGTCGATGGCCGGCTCCGCCGTGCCCCTCACTCCTCCTCGCTTCGCCCTGCTACTGCTCCCCTTCAGACCCTGCACCTGGACGTTTGGGGCCCTGCCCCCGTCCCCGGACCGCGCGGTCAGCGCTACTTTCTTGTGCTCGTCGACGACTACACGCGCTACACCACGGTGTTTCCTCTGGAGCGGAAGGCGGACGTGCCCGAAGTTCTTCTCCCATGGTTTATGGCTGTGTGTCTTCACCGCAGTCTCCCCGTTTTGTGTCTCCACTCTGACCGTGGCGGCAAGTTCGCCTCTGGTCGGCTTGGACAATTCTGTCGTGCGGAGGGCATCACCCAGTCGTACACCTTGCCGGACTCGCCACAGCAGAATGGGGTTGCTGAGCACCGCATCGGCTTGGTCATGGAGGTTGCTCGTACCACCATGATTCATGCCGATGCCCCCCATTTTCTGTGACCGTTCGCTGTCTGCTACATTGCTCACTAGCTTAACCTGTGGCCACGCTCCCAGCGGCCGCGGGTTTCGCCGACCCTCCTTTGGACCGAGTCCCCCGGTGACGCGTCTGCCTTCCACGTCTGGGGTTGCCTTGCTCATGTTTGTGCCTTTCGCACGGACAAGCTCACTGCCCGCACTGTCCCCTGTGTCTTCCTCGGTTTCCCCCTGGACTCGTCTGACTGGCTGTTCTACCACCCGCAGTCTCACCACTTCTTTCACTCTCGTGACGTCACCTTTGACGAGTCTGTCTCCTTCTACCGTTGCTTCCCTCACCGAGGTCTCCCAGTTCCCACCCCCTTGGTCCTGGCTCCCTCTCTCCCGGTTGCCCTTGCTCCCCTCCCGCCTCGTC